GTCCCTGCCGTGCCAGCGATGGCCTGAGAGGTCATGTTGCCTCGAAATGCTGAGTTGATGGAGTTGAAGAGGCTGGATTTGCCGGCTCCAACGGGGCCCACCAGCAACACACGGGCTTGATGCACCGTTTTGATGGCAGGCTTATAGTTCAGGATGGCCTTCGTCAACGCCTCCTTTTTCCTAGAGGGAAGAGAAATCAGTCAGTTCACCGGTAACCACATTCAGTGAAAATCAAACATTTACAATACAAAATGTGTGTCAATTTTCAAAATAAAGCTCGGTAACGTGATAGACCCAGTTGGTTAATTAAATGTACCGTGCAGAGTTTTGGCTAGCAGCTCTAGTAGCACTAGCAGGAACGTTTCTACAAGCAGATCCACATTTTGTTTGAACAATGCACTTGCAAGCACACAGGCAACATTCCTAGTTAGTTCACTGATCAATAGATAGTGGTGGCAATGCAGCAGATGCCAACAACGGCTGCAAGAATATAACTGCAAGAAGACACACAACAACTGCAAACATGCAGCAATTTTTTCTTTTTTTAAAAAAATCGTTTCATGAGGAGGAAAATTATTTACACAGTTCAAGGATGCAAAATTTGTTTTTGTCAGAAACCGTTAATGAGAATATAATTTTGTATATTTTAATTAAAAACTCCACTTTTGTAACATAGATTTCCACATACTCAGCCGTCCACTGGATGTTCCTCCACGGTTTGGCCAGGAGATCCCCCAAGTCTGCATGTGAAAAACACAGTTAATATAAAATAATGGCTTATTTTATTCCAACTTTAAACTTTTATTCACTTTATATACAATTCTGAGTCAGTGTTCACGTATTTTAGATCATGTTTTTTACTATAGAAAAAGCCTAGTCAAGTTCTTAAACATGCAAAACACTATTTAGGTGTGAAAAGTCGCCTTTAGTGCAACACTGTGAGATAAACTCTTTGCTTCTTGTCACACACCTTCAACTCGATACACCTCAAACTCAGTCAGTTCCAAGTCGTCTCCGTACATGTATGCGGTTTCAAAGTTGAAGCCTTTGCCCGGATTGGACGTTAATGCAGGCTTGTCGCCATCCAGGAACACCAGAGCTCCATAATCTGGACCAGTGGTTACATCTTTGAAAGCACACTGCCCTGTGATACCTGCAACCCTCAGAGGTCTCTGCTGCTCAGCTCTGATGCTGTAAAGGAAAGCATCCTTGTCAATGATGTCTCCATCACTCTGGGTGTAGTCTTTGGAGGTGTAGGCTCCAAAGACAAACCCAGCAGCGTTGTAAGCGACGATGACGGTGGGGCCCTGTGTGTCACAGCGGCCGTGGAAGGCAGCAGCAGTGTAACCGTGGATGCTGGCTTTGTAGAGCAGGTGGAGTCTGACGTGGCCGAAGAGAGAGAGCAGCTTTTTCTGCTGATCGTTAGAGAGGCCGGACGTGATCACTGGCATGATGACGATGAGGATTCAAACTCAGCTGAGGATGCAGAAATCATGGAAGAATTTTATGACAAGACATACTTCCTAAAAAATGCACAAATTGAACACTTAGATCTAATTAATAATACAAGTCTATGCTTCTTATTTTTCAGAGGATTGTAGGAATTTTCCTTTTTGAGATTAAAGAAAATAAAATAAAGGATTAAATTATGCAAAATATTGAATTAAAATAATAAAATATAGGATGAAAGTTTATAAAATATTGGATTAAAGTAAATCAAATGAGAACACATTAGTAACATTAATTTAACAAAGACAGACTTGACAGATTATATCACGGGACAACATTTGGATTTTTTTGAGCAAAACAATCCAGTAATCTTTAAATATTTACCATTAGGGAATTAAGATTTGAGTTGTTAAAGATTTTAAGCCACATGGCACAAGAGTCTGTTTAGTTTCATTTTCACTTCGAATCTCCACCCAAAACAGAAGTTAGTTATTTTGTGCCACTTGTACTGTTGCTTATCAACATTATGGGAATTTACAGCAAATCCCACCAATGCAACACGTTTGATTTGTAAAAACATCATGCAGATTTTTCTCAGACGCTTACACAAAACAAAACCCAGCTGGGCAACACCCTCCAGCAAAACCTTCAGCAGAAAGTGATTAAAATCTGACTCGCAGCATAAAAATGTTCCATTTTGTAGATACAGTTTAGAAGCTATAAAACTTACCAGCAATTTGAAGAAAATTGTTGTCGTAAAATGCAGCAAGTTCCTACGTTGGTGGTGGTTTGTGTTCCTCTGTCGGTGCTCAAACAAAAGTGAAACTGTTGTGCAAGCCTTTATGTTTGGGGATTTTCCTTCCTCTGTTAAACTGCAGCTTTCAGTTTCTATCCTACAGCGTTGTGACTCATCAAGGCTGGTGAGGCTCTGTAATGAATTCTTCTGATTTATAGATTTTGAAATGCTATGTTAAAGTTAAGCACTGGTCAAAACACTTCATTGCAGATTAACTCTCTTCCTTTGCAGCCACAAAAAGACACCAGTTTCATATCACATTTAAGGTTTAATTCAATTTAACATTAATTCATGGAAAGGTTCAGCTGTCCTGATGAAAAACTTGCTATTCTAGATGGAAGAATTTGCAATTTCATCATGACTCTCGACTTTGAATGGTGATGCACATTCTTTATTCCTCTCAGCCCCACAGCCCACACAGTTTGACATTTTCACTGTATTTTCTTACAGATAATTACAAAATGAAAGTTTTTCAATGTCCGTCCATCCACCCCGCTCTGCCCCGACGCTGCCACAGTGCTTTGCTCTCTTTCTTCATGAATATCATGAATGAAACAACATACAGTACATATTTTATACATGCGGGACACATACACATAGTTACAGTTCACTTGGCTACTGTGGGGTTCACTTAGTTGTTGCCCACGATTGCACATCTCCAGTTCAACCCTCCAAAAAAAATCATTCAAGCCCTGGCGCCCTTTTGCAGTGAAAAGGCAGAAGTGAATTATTAGGGATGTAGTGAATTAGGATTGAATGAAACCCGTAAAAAGAAAGTTGATTGCTCAAAATAAAACAAATGTGCAATTTCTCTGAAAGATAATACAAATTTCTGAGGATTTTTTTAAAACTTTTTATCATCAATACAAAATATCAGAGGATGTTTTTTTTTTGAGATTCTGAATGAAAATGTCATTTTTTATGTATTTGGAGGCAGCATCCAGGCGCACAAATGGACCATTTGTGTCATCGTGACGGTGTCATGCTTTGGTATTAAGGAAATGTTGTATATCACATGCACATTCGCGTGACCTAAAGGCAAAACAGCCACAGAGATAATTAGAGTTTAAGACGGGATTCTTACCCATCTCGGCGTATGACATTCAAATTCATGGACAGACTGGGATGAAAGGATATAAGAAGGAAAACTATGAACGAAAATGTAATCCGATACATTAAAAATTCCCTTTTACTACCTTAAAAATTGGATTTAAAGCTTCCTGGATAACTTTGATTTGTAATTTTCCTTGAAATTTAAATGTAATTTATTACAATTTGTTCAAAAGTTACTTTGAGGTGCTGGATATTTCCAGAAGAATTTCCTGGAAGCATCTGCTCCATTTAAATATTCTCTTATTATTCAATTGATTTAGTAAAAAAACTTTTAAATCTATGTTTGCATATAGACAGATTTGCTATTTTTGCATGTGCTAATTTTGCTGACGATAAACTGGAAACATATCAATAAAATATTTTTTTATTTTCCCTATAGTCAGCGCCAAAGGTTTTGGTTTTTGTTTCTAGGGGGCTTAAAGACAAATGGGATACAAAGATAAGAAAATCATAGAAGTTATTTGGGAATTATGGACCTGTAAAATAAAGTGTTGTGCATTCCATCTTCCATTTAATTACAGCAGTGCTGGAGTACAGTTTGAAGCTCAGGACTACTTTGCAAGAAATGCAACCTTGCAAAACTCCCCCCACCACCCACTGTGACTAAACCGTGACATTATGCTGTACAAAATATCTTTCCCTAACATACTGTATGATTATATCCACCATCAAAACACATGTTGTTGATTTTTTTTTTCTTTTTTTTTTGAGTAAGATATTGAGTGAACATCTATTTGTACAAAAAGCATTTGCAATCTGGCTCCTGATTAGCGTGATTATGAGCACTTGTAATGGATTACAATTGCAGGACTGTTCTTAATAACGCGCTTTGCTATAATGCTATTAAATTTAATCTGGTGCTCTAATCCCTGCTGACCAGATTTGTCTTTGCACGCTCGGTTTCAGTAATCTCAGATTCAGCGATTATCTTTCACTAGTGGCAGACAGACCGACAAAGTGTCTCTGAGAGTCTGTTTGCTCAGCATAGATTTCGAAGCCACGGTGGCACAAAACGTTTTCAAAGCAGGTACGACACACAGCACAGCCCATCTCATGTCTGCTCACAACAACACACCTGACCACACACTGTGAAAGTGAATTCGTTAAAGATACAACGTGGGACTGGTATCGATCCAACAAATTTAGAAAATAAAGTGAGTTCAATGCATTTTGATTTTTCCGAAGTCTTAATTTGATGCATAAATGTTGCATTAAAAGCAGCAGAATGGGCCCAGGTACATAGCACAGACTACTAACACGCTTCAGTGCCTACACCTAGTGCCTTTAACCCCACGTATACTATTTTTTAATAATTTACAGCATCAGCTTTCATGTTATTCTACGTGTTTGCAGGCTGACATGCGTCTCTTGCAGCCACTACGATCTCCTCTCCTGTTTCGCACAGGGTCATGGGTCAAACAAAATCATGCAGTTGCTCCCCGAAGGGATGTTTGTTCTCCCTTTGAGGAGGAAGAAAACAAAAAAAAGGGCCTTTCGGTGCATAAGAAGCCCAAAAAGGAGGTGATAAACCAGAAGGGGGTGTGGTGAGCGCCTCATCCATTCGGTCGTGCAAGAAAGGGGCTGCGTCTCCCCATAATCTGTTTCTAACTATTTCTGTCACTCCTTCAGTCTTTTATCTCTCACATACACACTAGCACCCTTCAGCTCACATTCACCCTCCATCCCCCCCATGCTGCGTCAACCAGTCCGCCTTAGAACTCGATTTTGCAGGCAGGAAAGGTTTCATCTTGCATGGCGACGGTGCTGTTGGATCCCAGGACGGTGATGCCCTGCTCCTTCTGTCTGTCCAGGGTCTGCTGGTACCACTCCTGCATCGACGGCGACTCAAAAGTGGGGATCACAGTCACCTGGAGACCCACAACAGGACACTGTCAGTCATTTGTTGACATGGCTGCACATATTAGTAGATTTCTTTCAGCATCTGGAAAGGACGGTGGTTTCAGATCCAGCTGCAAGTCAGTTTCCTTTGAAACTCTCTCCCGGATTACATCAAATAACTGGTTTTCTGTGTGTTGTTCATAAAGTAGATTTCACCTCTGAAGCCCAATTCTAAGTAGTATCATTACTAACTGCAGCGTACACTGTGGTGACTGCTTTAAAGAGCTATAAATAATGTTATTAGTTACAC